ATGAGTTTTCTATCTGTTCCAACGACTTTTAAGAATTTTTAACAGCATTTTAGAATTTTTTTTTGGAACGTTCTAAAACATTCTAAATTTTTTTTGAAACAATCTAAATTTTTTCCAACGAGTTTTCAATCTGTTCCAACAAGTTTTGACTAGTTTTGAGAATATTTAAAAACATTCTAAAATTTTTTGTAACATTTTAGAATGTTCCAAATTTTTTTGAAACAATTTAAGTTTTTGTAACGAGTTTTTAATTTGTTTCAACAAATTCTAATAATTTTTTGGACCATTTTAGAACATTTCAGAATTCTTTGGCACATTCTAAAACGTTCCAGAACATGTTTGATTTCTATTCAACATTCCGAATAACTCAATATCAAGTTGAAATTTTTTTTGGAACATTCTAGAATGTTCAAGAATTTTTTGAAACATTCTAGGGGTAATTGGAAGTTACTTCAGTATACATTTTAAAATTTTCAGAAACATTTTAAGAAAAAATTGCAACACTTTAGAACATTCCAAAACTTTCTGGAATGTTTTGGAACACTCTAGAAGTTACTAGATTTGAAACTCGTGATTTTCTAATGAGATTTACGAATCCTAAAAATTCTAGAAAAATTTTTTGGAACATTCTAAAACGTTTCAATTTTTTTAAAAACAATCTAAATTTGTTCCAATTAGTTTTAAGTTTGTTCCAACAAATTCTAAGAATTTTTTTAGAACATTCTAGAACGTTTCAAATTTTTTTTAAGCAATCTAATTTTTTTTTCAACGAGTCTTTGGGCTGTTCCAACGAGTTCTGAGAATATTTGGAAATATTCTATAACATTTGAGAATTTTTTGGAACATTCTAAAACGTTCCAATTTTTTTTTGAAACAACCTAAATTTTTTCCAATTAGTTTTCAATTTGTTCTAACGAGTTTTAAAAATTTTTTGGTACATTTTAGAACATTTCAGAATTTTTTGAAACATTTCAAAACGTTTCAATTTTTTATTTTAAAACAATCTAAATTTATTTCAATTAGTTTTTAGTTTGTTCCAACGAGTTCTAAGAATTTTTTAGAACATTCTAGAACGTTTTAAATTTTTTTGAAACAATCTAATTTTTTTTTCAACGAGTTTTTGAGCTGTTCCAACGAGTTCTAAAAATATTTGGAATTATTCTACATTTGAGAATTTTTTGGAACATTCTAAAACGTTTCAATTTTTTTTTGAAACAATCAAAATTTTTTCCAATTTGCTTTCAATCCTTTTCAACGAGTTTTAAGAATTTTTTGGAACATTCTAGAATGTTTCAATCTTATTTTTTTCCCAACATGTTTTCAATCTCTTCCAACGAGTTTTGAAAATTTTTAGGAACATTCTAGAAAATATTAGAATTTTTTTTTGGAACATTCTAGAAATATATTAGAATTTTTTTGGAACGTTTTAAAACATTCTAAATTTTTTTTGAAACAATCCAAATTTTTTTCAATGAGCTTTTTATCTGTTCCAACGACTTTTAAGAATTTTTAACAACTTTCTAGAATTTTTTAGAACTTTCTAGAACGTTCAAAACTTTTTGAAACAATCTATTTTTTTTCAACACGTTTTCAATCTGTTGCAATGAGTTCTAAAAATTTTTAGGAACATTCTAAAATATTTTAGAATTTTTTTGTAACATTCTAGAACGTTCCAAAATTTTTTGAAACAATCTAAATTTTTCCAACGAGTCTTCAATCTGTTTCAACGAGTTTTGACTAGTTTTGAGAATATTCAAGAACATTCTAAAATTTTTTGGAACATTTTAGAACTTTCAGAGCCTGTGGCAACACTGGGTGCGGGGTTCCGGGTGGTCATCTATGAATGTCACTCGACGTTTTGGTGCCCGATGGAGTGGACTATTAGAGTCATCCCCGGGAGACTTTGGCCTGGGTCTCTTAGGGGTGGAGATGGTGGGGGATTCGGGACGCACAACGTTCTAAAATGTCTTCTTAAAACTCCTTGGAACAGCTTGAATACTAATTGGGAAAAATTTAGATTGTTTCAAAAAAAATTTTGAAACATTTTAGAATGCTCCAAAAAATTTTCAAATGTTCTAAATATTTCCAAATATTCTTAAAACTCGTTGGAACATATCGAAAACTCGTCGAAAAAAAATTTAGATTGTCTCAAAAAAATTTGAAACGTTCTAAAATGTTCCAAAAAATTCTTAAAACTCGTTGGAACAGATTGAAAGCTAATTGGAAAAAAATTAGATTGTTTCAAAAAAAAATTGAAACGTTTTAGAATGTTCCAAAAAATTCTCAAATGTAAAATATTTCCAAATATTATCAGAACTCGTTGGAACAGCTCGAAGACTCGTTGAAAAAAAAATTAGATTGTTTCAAAAAATTTTGAAACGTTCTAGAATGTTCTAAAAAAATTCTTAGAACTCGTTGGAACAAACTAAAAACTAATTGAAACAAATTTAGATTGTTTTAAAAAAAAATTGAAACGTTTTAGAATGTTCCAAAAAATTCTCAAATGTTCTAAAATATTTCCAAAAATTCTCAAAACTCGGTGGAACACATTTGAAACACGTTGCAAAAAAATTTAGATTGTTTCAAAAAATTTTGAAATGTTCTAAAATGTTCCAAAAAATTTTTAAAACTCGTTGGAACAAATTGAAAACTAATTAAAAAAAATTTAGGTTGTTTCAAAAAAAAAAATTGGAACGTTTCAGAATATTCTAAAAAATTCTCAAATGTTCTAGAATATTTCTAAAATTTTTCAAAACTCATTGGAACTCATTTAGAACTCGTTAAAAAAAATTTAGATTATTTCAAAAAATTCTAGAATGTTATAGAATGTTCCAAAACCTTCTTAAAATTTATTAGAGCAGATTGGAAACTAATTGAAAAAAAATTAGATTGCTTCAAAAAAATTTTGGAACGTTTTAAATTGTTTCAAAAAAATTTTAAATGTTCTAGAATATTTTTAAAAAATTTTAAAACTCGTTAAAATTGAAAACTCGTTAAAAAAAATTTAGATTGTTTCAAAAAATTCTTAGAACACGTTAGAACAGATTAAAAACCAATGGAAAAAAATTAATTGTTTTAAAAAAAAACGCTCTAGAATGTTCCAAAAAAAATTTAGAACTCGTTAAAACAGATTGAAAGCTCGTTGAAAGAAGCTTAGATTGTTTCAAAAAATTATGAAACATTTTAGAATGTTCTAAAAAATTTTTAGAACTCGTTGGAAGAGATTAAAAACTAATCGGAAAAAATTAGATTGTTTCAAAAAAAATTTGGAACGTTCTAGAATGTTCCAAAAAATTCTTAGAACTTGTTAGAACAGATTGAAAGCTCGTTAGAAGAAACTTAGATTGTTTCAAAAAATTCTGAAACATTTTAGAATGTTCCAAATTGATTTTGCAGAATATTCGAAATTTTTCTAGAATTTTTGGAATTCGTAAATCTCATTAGAAAATCACGAGTTTCAAATCTAGTAACTTCTAGAGTGTTCCAAAAAATTCCAGAAAGTTTTGGAATGTTCTAAAGTGTTGCAATTTTTTCTTAAAATGTTTCTGAAAATTTTAAAATGTATATTGAAGTAACTTCCAATTACCTCTAGAATGTTTCAAAAAATTTCTGAACATTCTAGAATGTTCCAAAAAAAATTTCAACTCGATATTGAGTTATTCGGAATGTTGAATTGAAATCAAACATGTTCTGGAACGTTTTAAAATGTTCCAAAGAATTCTGAAATGTTCTAAAATGGTCCAAAAAATTATCAGAACTTGTTGAGATAAATTAAAAACTCGTTACAAAAAACTTAAATTCTTTCAAAAAATTTTGGAACGTTCTAAAATGTTCCAAAAAATTTTAGAATGTTCTTAAATACTCTCAAAACTAGCCAAAACTCGTTGGAACAGATTGAAAACTCGTTGGAAAAAATTTAGATTGTATCAAAAAATTTTGGAACGTTCTACAATGTTCCAGAAAAAATTCTAAAATATTTTAGAATTTTTTTTCAACTAGTTTTCGATATTGTCCAACAAGTTTTAAGAATTTTTGGAAATATTTAGAACATTTGAAATTTTTTTGGAACATTCTAAAATGTTTCAGTACGAGTACGGCCCGAAGGGCCGGAGTTACATGCGAGTCCGGCCCGAAGGGCCGTAGTTATATGCGAGTCCGGCCCGAAGGGCCGTAATTATATGCGAGTCCGGCCCGAAGGGCCGTAGTTATATGCGAGTCCGGCCCGAAGGGCCGTAGTTATATGCGAGCCCGAAGGGCCGGAGTTATTTCAATCACGAGACCGGAGGGCCAAGGTTATACAACTAACGCAATAAGTACAGAATTTTCCGCTTTTCCAAGCCGTTTTTAGTCGAGAAAACCGATTTGAAATATGAGGCTTTGAATTTCCTACATTTTATGCTAAAAATGTCCAGTTTTTCAATGGGGAAAGTGACAAAAATTCAAATTTCATTAAGTAGGCTTTGGAATGTCATTTTTAAAGGTTTTTCTTTGAATTTGTCCGCTTTTTCAGAGCTTTTCTGGTCGGAAAAACCGATTTAAAGTATGAGACTTTGAGTTTTCTTAATGTTCTACTAAAAATTTCCAGTGTTTTAACGGATTTTCTATCACTTTTTTTTTCGAAATTCGCAAAATATATAAAAAAAACTTTTTTGACGTTGACAGCTGTCAAATTTTTTTGACACAAATCGATAGTTGGCGTCGTGAAACTGCCTTGCATCGAGGTTTGATTTTCGTAGCTTTTATAGTAGAGCGGAAAAAAAGTCGAACATGTGTCAAATTTGACACATTATGAACGTGGATATTCTCATAAAATTTTAGTGAATTCCGAGACATTTTTAAGAAATTACATGAAATTCCAAAGAATTTTTTTTCAGGTGCCTTAAAACGTTTATTTTGCATCAAAAAATTATGATTGCACGGCCTCGGTGCAGTCATGTGTGTCCAGACCTTAATAGTTTATTTTCATTGAATCTAAATTTTTTCTAGGTATATTTTTCTAGCAATCTACACCCTCGAAATGTTAATCAAAACAATAGCCAAGGGTTTTATATTGAACAAATACACATACTTAAGAAACCCTTGGAATTGGTTGGATTTTGTCGTTATCACCAGCGGATACGCAACCATTGGGGTTGAAGGGGCCAACTTGGCCGGATTAAGAACCTTTAGAGTATTACGCGCCCTCAAAACAATCTCAATTCTACCGGGCTTGAAAACAATCATAAACGCCTTGCTTCACTCCTTCAAACAACTAGCAGAAGTAATGACTTTGACAATCTTTTGCTTAATGGTGTTTGCCTTGTTCGCCCTACAAGTTTACAAGGGCGAGTTGCGTAACAAGTGCGTATCGAAAATGCCGGACACCAATGACGATTGGTATAATTGGACGCGGGATCCGGACAATTGGCTGCGCCATGACGCTACGGATGATCCGATACTGTGCGGCAACGTGACTGGTTCGCGTCATTGTCCGCACACGCATACGTGTTTGTGCGTAGGCGAAAACCCCAATCACGGTTATACTAGTTTTGATAATTTCTTGTGGTCGATGTTGACTACTTTTCAACTAATCACCCTTGACTATTGGGAGAATGTTTACAACATGGTAATTGATTATTACGTTATTATATATACCTATATATAAAATTGTTCTTTGTATATAGGTTTTAGCATCATGCGGTCCAATAAGCGTTTCATTTTTCACCGTAGTCGTTTTCTTTGGTTCGTTTTACTTGATTAACTTGATGTTGGCAGTAGTGGCACTTGCCTACGAAGAAGAGGCCGAAATTACACAAGAAGTAAGTAAGGTATCAGTAGTCTTATAGCAGTAGTAGGTTAGCGACAGAGCTGTCAAAAATATTTTTGAAAAGTATCTAGTTACCTTTGTTTGGAAAAAGTATCTGAAGTTCTTAAGGCGGCGTTAATGGCCGCCATGTTTAAATTTTAGTTTTTGAAAATGACGACAGTGTCACAAAATTTGTTTGTCGATGAAACACTTAGTGACAGAGAAAAACAAATATATAATTATGATTAAGGTTCTCAAAACACTAAAATCAACACGCAGATTTTGCACACTCACACTTCCTGTATCACGCATCTTAGTAAAACGATCAATTTATTGGGTCGGGGTCGGGTTAGGGTAAACGTCTCAAGGAACTTTTAAGTAACTAAGATACTTTTTTCTGACAGCTTTGGTTAGCGATATTTTTTCTCATTATTACTCTTGATTAAACCAATTCTCATTAGGAGCGTAAGAAAGAGCTGGTAGATCACCGGGAAGATTCGACATTCAGTTTCGATCCAACGAATTTGAACGTCAAACGTTTGTCGCGGCACAAAATGAAGAAAATCGACGCGCGCAAAGGCGTTCTGCTCTCGTCATACACACGAAAGAAAACGAGACGGAGAAAACGGACAAAGAGCAAAACGGAAGCGCCGAGCAGCAACGTTTCGGACAAAGATTTTCCTACACCGTCTCCAAATAAAACCGCCAGGTGAGTAAAACATTCCTCAAATTACTTTTATAAATGTTTCGGTTTTAGATCAGTAACACCTAGTCGTAGTCCGAGTCCCAAACCAGCAGCTCAGAAACAACACACTTTACATCCGAATAAGATGACAGTAGGTCCAAGTAAGAGTGCCATGCAAAGTCGTCAGGCTAGCAGCAATAGTGGTGAGGGTAAGCAATCGTCTTTGGACGATTCAGGGGTGGTGGACGATCACGAGGAGGGCGATGCGACATCTGAAGACGCTGGGGTAAGGTAACATATGTGGATATTCTCATAAAATTTTAGTGAATGCCGAAACATTTTTAAGAAATTACATGCGACTCCCGGCCCGAAGGGCCGGAGTTACATGCGAGTCCGGCCCAAAGGGCCGGAGTTATATGCGAGTCCGGCCCCTAGCTTATATAAAAAAAAGATAGAAATACATTTTTTTCTACACTAGTTTTACCAATTGGAAGAGAAATTCATAATGTAGCAACCCTATACGTAATTTGACATTTCAAAGTAGGCCTTGTAATCTTTTGACAATTAATTCAAAATGGTTGGTTTGTTTTCAAGGCCTACTTGGCTTGATTTTACAGTTATCTGTATTACCGACATCGATTAAAATCAGTGTTGCTTTCAAGGCCTACTAGGTTATTTATTTTGTTGCTTGTCAATAATTTGATGTTTGATATTTTGTCGATGTTTAAAAAATAGTCGTTATGGAAAATTTAAAATTTACAAGGCCTACTTGAGCTTTGTTTTTTTCTAAATCTTTAAGCCTCATCAGTAATTGAAACAATGTTTGTTGTAAGTTGAAGTTGACAGCACTGTTCGATAACTGACAAAGTAGTATACTCTGTAATACCGATATCGCAATACATATACATTTTCAAGGCCTACTTGGTTTCATAAATCTTTCGCTTACAGTTGTTGATTACAGTGAATAAGACAAAGACAACAATAAACTGATATATGTTTGCAAAAATCACTGTTTTCTGAAAAAAGTAAAAATCTTAAGAAAACCAACATTCCAAAATCAATTTGATAAAACTAAAGTTTTTGAATATTCCCAGTTTTTCATTGGCTCCGAATTATCAGCTACCCAATAAGGCTCGTGATAGAAATAAGTCCGGTCCTTCGGGCTTTCATATAACTCCGGCCCTTCGGGCCGGACTCGCATATGCCAGAAAATGCCATGAAGATGTTTTGTTGTTGAGAGCATAATGCATGAAAATTTTGTGGAATTTCAGTGGTAAAATTTTGAGGAATTTTAGTAAAGTTAAAAAAACAAAATATGGAATTTTGAAATTGAAATCTTGATGGAATTCCTTCATGAAATCCTATACTGTAATTAGCCTCCTCACTTGAAATAGTCACGAGCCGCCACTGCGTAACGTAACTGTGTTTTAGCAGCATCGACTTTATTCATTTTAGATGTAACATAATTATGAGTATATATTTTCAGCGACTCGAAGTGACACCGGCAACTACCAGACGAGTAAAAGTAATCAGATGTAACGGCGTCGGTACTGACAAAAAGAAACCACCCGAAATGTACACCGACTACCTTTCGCACATTGTTGTCATAGGTAAGCCAACCTACTCCTGTAAATCATCTTATTTCTTCTTTTTTCTCAGACAGCGAATTACCAGACAGAAATTGCTCGTGCTGCGAACGATGCTGCACCGACTACGAAGGTTGGCTACAGTTCCAGCAAGGCCTTTACCGGATCGTCAAAGACCCATTGTTCGAGCTGGCAATTACAATTTGCATTGTATTGAACACGATGTTTTTGGCCATGGAGCATCACGGCATGAGCGAGTCTGTACTCAGAGCTTTAGATGTTGGAAATAAGGTGTTTACGTCAATATTTACTTTTGAATGTTGCATGAAGATAATGGCTTTGAGTAAAGACTTTTTCCATTGCGGCTGGAACATTTTCGATTTGATTATTGTGTCGGCTAGTCTTTTGGATTTGATTTTCGAGCTTGTGGATGGTCTTTCGGTACTTAGAGGCTTGAGATTGGTAAGTGTGTCCAGTGGCGGCTCGTCAGAGGAGGCAAAGCCTCCTCCAAAAAATTGAAAATTCAATCTTAGTTTTTTATTCCTAATTCCTAATTAAAATAATAATTCACAAATTACACTTTGCGAAGGGCCGGAGTTATATGCGAGTCCGGCCCGAAGGGCCGGACTCGCATATAAATCCAGGCCATTCGGGCCGGACTTATATGCGAGTCCGGCCCGAAGGGCCGGAGTTATATGAAAGCCCGAAGGACCGGACTTATTTCTATCACGAGCCTTATTGGGTAGCTGATAATTCGGAGCCAATGAAAAACTGGGAATATTCAAAAACTTTAGTTTTATCAAATTGATTTTGGAATGTTGGTTTTCTTAAGATTTTTACTTTTTTCAGAAAACAGTGATTTTTGCAAACATATATCAGTTTATTGTTGTCTTTGTCTTATTCACTGTAATCAACAACTGTAAGCGAAAGTTTTGATGTTTGACATTTTGTCGATGTTTAAAAAATAGTCGTTATGGAAAATTTAAAATTTACAAGGCCTACTTGGGCTTTGTTTTTTTCTAAATCTTCAAGCCTCATCAGTAATTGAAACAATGCTTGTTGTAAGTTGAAGTTGACAGCACTGTTCGATAACTGACAAAGAAGGCTTTGGAAAATTTGATACTCTGGCTCTGGTTCGCATATAACTCCGGCCCTTCGGGCCGGACTCGCATATAACTCCGGCCCTTCGGGCCGGACTCGCATATAGCTCCGTCCATGTTTCCAGCGAACTATATGACGTCATAAGTTGCTCGCGAAAGCGTTTGTGTTCATGAAATCATGGAAATACTTCGGTGAAAGTTTATTCAAAATTACACACTGCCACTGGTAAAAACATTGTTGCCGTTTTATAGGTCTATTTCTCTCTTCTTCATATAATAGAATTTATTGTAAGGCTTGGCCGATTTATGAGTAAAAGCCGGCAACAGTGTGTAAGTTCAATTTACAAACCGGTTGGCAACACTGATTTGCCGCCATGTTGTTTTTTAAAACGAGTGGGATTTTGTTTGAAAAATATCTCGTACGCCTATGGATGGTAAAGCTCCACCCATTTAGACGTCTTTTATGGGTCCCAAATGGACGAGGTTAATTGCCAATAAACAAGGGGTGGAATCATACAATCCATAGAGCGTTACCTTTTTTGGTTAAACATTGGGGGGAATAGATAAAATTTGAGTTGGAAAAACTAGAAAAAATAAGAGATAAAAGGACCTCAGTACCTATATTTCATTGGTTGTCAGCCATTTGTAGACTGTCGGCCATTTTGTATTACATTACAACCAATGAGCGGTCCCAAGAAAGAGTCTAATCGAGCTGTAGGAAATAACTAACCCTTATTGGCCTACGGAAGAGCCTAATGAAGGGATCATTCCCTGATTGGCCAGAGCAAAGAAAAGGGGTGACAAGAATTCTACTTCAATGTTTTTTCCCTTCCATGCATTTGAATTTTCTTCATTGATAAATTCAAGAGCTGGGAATAAACAAAAAATGACATTTGACCTAAATTTCAGACATTTGACAGAAATATTATTAATACACTGTTGTCACGTTGTACCTAATTTCTAAATCTTTTTTTTTTTCAACCGTAATTTGTAATTCATTATTTTTTAGCCTCCTCACTTGAAATAGTCACGAGCCGCCACTGAGTGTGTCACAATAATAATATGTAATATTTGTATTTATATTTGTAGCTTCGTGTACTTAAGCTGGCACAATCTTGGATAACAATGAAAGTACTGCTTAGTATCATTATAAGTACCATAGGGGCTTTAGGGAATTTAACCTTTGTACTTGTAATAGTTATTTACATTTTCGCCGTCATTGGTATGCAATTATTTGCCAAAGATTACACCGAAGAAAAGTTTTATCCCGATCCTGTTCCGAGGTGGAATTTTACCGATTTTTTTCATTCATTTATGATGATTTTTCGCATTTTGTGCGGCGAATGGATCGAGCCTTTGTGGGATTGTATGCGAGCGGAAAACGTAGATGTAAGTCTTGACTAAGACGCAGGATACTCCGACCCTCAACTACCCCTAATCTCCAAGGGGCATTCTTGCACTCAACGAGACCGATGTCCACAACCTTAGGTTAGGCCAGCCTATTCAATTTAAAGTAAAAGTGCCCCTTGGAGGATAAGGGTAGTTAAGAAGGGGGTAGTGTACCAGTATGCCGCATCCAATACTACTAAAGTCTTATTTTAGGGCCCAGGCATATGCTTGGCCGTTTTCCTACCAACATTGGTAATGGGCAACTTCATGGTGCTCAACCTTTTCTTGGCTTTGCTGCTCAACAGCTTCAATTCAGAAGAGCTCAAACATCGAAAAGAGGTAAACATGAATCAAGAATTAATTCCTCATTCACTGAATTTGATTTTACCATTATATAGGAAGTTGGTGACGAATCAAAGCTGGCCCAAAGCTTCCAACGTATAAGAGACTTAGTCAGAAACCGTCGCTTACAAGAACAAGAAACCAATTCTCGGCTCGAGCAAATTGTCAGAGAGGTGATGCAACGGCACGCCGAAGAAAAAGAAGCGAAAAAATTCCCCAGAGATAAACGCAGCTACCAAGAAGCCATGAACCGTCCCATTTCCATAATCAGCTACGACATTCCAGAATACCAGCTAGACAAAGACAAACGCTACGCTTTACTCTTAAAAGAACCCGAAGCCCCTCCTCCAAAATATCACGAAAACGCAACCAATTTGCAACCCTGGCAAACGCTAGTTTCCTATGTCGACGAATTGACATTGGGACGAGACTCGAAAGGACTTGGCGTCGGTAATTTTCCAGGATTCGGCAACCAAAAACCCCCCAAAGTGCCTTCGAATTGTTTCCCGAAACAATTCTACGAACGATGCGCTTGTCTGGACAAGTGCGCATCCTCCGAGTACGGTTTGAAATGGACAAAGTTCCGTACCAGAGTCCTGGACATTGTGGACACGTCGTCTTTCGAATGGTTCATTCTGGTGCTGATATTCGCTTCGAGTGTCACGTTGTGCTTCGAAGATATTCATTTGGACGAGAATCCCCAGACTGAAAACGCTGCTTTACTGGACCAATTTTACTTTTTCGATTATTTTCGTTGTCGAGATGCTGTTCAAATGGGTGGCCTTGGGATTTTACAAGTACTTCAGTAGTTTTTGGACGCTTTTGGATTTTCTGATTGTGTTCGTAAGTTTAAGTTACTTACCTCCTAAGAATAATTGCAAAAGTCCATTTCAATCGGGCCCCAGCTGGCAACACTGTTTCGTAAGCAACTTCATTCGGGTTCCAATCAAGTTGGCCTTGGAATGTTATTTCAAAAGCCTTGACAGTGACATTTGACAAACGGCCATGTTTTTAATTATATTTGCAAAAATGGCGGCCATTTGGTAAAACATGTTTGATTTCAACAAGAAGAAGTTTCTGAACGGAATAGAGTGCGCACACTCGGTGTGCCTATAGCATTTATGAACAGCTAGTGTGACGTATACGAATCATTCAAAAGAGAGTCGCGCACCTGTAGTGATGTCACTACAGGTGACAATAATGCGCTTGTAATTCTTGATTTAATAATAGTTCTTTTTTTGTTTTAATTTACTTGGTCGTTAATCGTTGGTAATAGGGCGATTTAACGCATTACTACTACTACAGGATAGCCTATCTTCATAAGGCTTCTCTCCCCCCAGTTGTGACGTAAGCAGCATATTACTTCTCGCCTTGACGTAGGTTTTTTTTTCAGAAAATTTGACACTATGTCAAATTTTACAGTTTTTTTAATTTTAAAAATTTTCCAATTTTAGTTTTTTTCAAGACAATTTAACACGATGGTAAAAAAAAAAATTCAGAAAAATTTGTCCAACGAGTTACAATAATTTCAAAAAGTTTTTTAGTATTTCTGGAATTTTTTAAGAAACTCAATAAAAACTCGTTGGAAAAAAAATCCATTAAATTTCATTGAATTTTGAAAATAATTGAACCAACGAGTTTCGATAAATTTAAAAAAAAAAATTGAAAAATATTTTTGAAATTTTTTAAAACATTATAAACTCGTTGGAAAAAAATTATCAAACGAATTTCAAGAATTGTTTCAAACAAAAAAATTGTCCAACGAGTTACAATAATTAATTTTAAAACGTTTTTTGATATTTTTGGAATTTTTCAAGGAACTCAATAAAAACTCGTTGGAAAAAAAATCCATCAAATTTCATTGAATTTTGAAAATAATTGAACCAACGAGTTTCGATAAATTAAAAAAAAATTGAAGAATATTTTCGAAATTTTTTAAAACATTATAAACTCGTTGGAAAAAAAATTATCAAATGAATTTCAAGAATTGTTTTCAAACAAAAAAATTGTCCAACGAGTTACAAATAATTTTAAAACGTTTTTTTAGTATTTCTGGAAATTTTCAAGCAAATCAATAAAAAACTCGTTGGAAAAAAAAAATCCATCAAATTTCATTGAATTTTGAAAATAATTGAACCAACGAGTTTCGATAAATTAAAAAAAATTGAAGAATATTTTCGAAAATTTTTTAAAACATTATAAACTCGTTGGAAAAAAATTATCAAATGAATTTCAAGAATTGTTTCACAAACAAAAAAAATGTCCAACGAGTTACAAATAATTTTAAAACGTTTTTTAGTATTTCTGGAAATTTTCAAGCAAATCAATAAAAACTCGTTGGAAAAAAAAATCCATCAAATTTCATTGAATTTTGAAAATAATTGAACCAACGAGTTTCGATAAATTAAAAAAAATTGAAGAATATTTTCGAAATTTTTTTAAAACATTATAAAACTCGTTGGAAAAAAATTATCAAATGAATTTCAAGAATTGTTTCAAACAAAAAAATTGTCCAACGAGTTACAAATAATTTTAAAACGTTTTTTAGTATTTCTGGAAATTTTCAAGCAAATCAATAAAAACTCGTTGGAAAAAAAAATCCATCAAATTTCATTGAATTTTGAAAAAAATTGATCCAACGAGTTTCGATAAATTAAAAAAAAATTGAAAAATATTTTCGAAATTTTTTAAAACATTATAAACTCGTTGGAAAAAAATTATCAAATGAATTTCAAGAATTGTTTCAAACAAAAAAATTGTCCAACGAGTTACAAATAATTTTAAAACGTTTTTTAGTATTTCTGGAAATTTTCAAGCAAATCAATAAAAACTCGTTGGAAAAAAAAATCCATCAAATTTCATTGAATTTTGAAAATAATTGAACCAACGAGTTTCGATAAATTAAAAAAAATTGAAGAATATTTTCGAAATTTTTTAAAACATTATAAACTCGTTGGAAAAAAATTATCAAATGAATTTCAAGAATTGTTTCAAACAAAAAAATTGTCCAACGAGTTACAAATAATTTTAAAACGTTTTTTAGTATTTCTGGAAATTTTCAAGCAAATCAATAAAAACTCGTTGGAAAAAAAAATCCATCAAATTTCATTGAATTTTGAAAAAAATTGATCCAACGAGTTTCGATAAATTAAAAAAAAAATTGAAAAATATTTTCGAAATTTTTTAAAACATTATAAACTCGTTGGAAAAAAATTATCAAATGAATTTCAAGAATTGTTTCAAACAAAAAAATTGTCCAACGAGTTACAAATAATTTTAAAACGTTTTTTAGTATTTCTGGAAATTTTCAAGCAACTCAATAAAAACTCGTTGGAAAAAAAAATCCATCAAATTTCATTGAATTTTGGAAATAATTGATCCAACGAGTTTCGATAAATTAAAAAAAAAATTGAAAAATATTTTCGAAATTTTTTAAAACAGTATAAACTCGTTGGAAAAAAATTATCAAATGAATTTCAAGAATTATTTCAAACAAAAAAATTGTCCAACGAGTTACAAATAATTTTAAAACGTTTTTTAGTATTTCTGGAAATTTTCAAGGAACTCAATAAAAACTCGTTGGAAAAAAAAATCCATTAAATTTCATTGAATTTTGGAAATAATTGAACCAACGAGTTTCGATAAATTAAAAAAAATTGAAAAATATTTTCGAAATTTTTTAAAACATTATAAACTCGTTGGAAAAAAAATTATCAAATGAATTTCAAGAATTGTTTCAAACAAAAAAATTGTCCAACGAGTTACAAATAATTTTAAAACGTTTTCTAGTATTTCTGGAAATTTTCAAGCAAATCAATAAAAACTCGTTGGAAAAAAAAATCCATCAAATTTCATTGAATTTTGAAAATAATTGAACCAACGAGTTTCGATAAATTAAAAAAAATTGAAAAATATTTTCGAAATTTTTTAAAACATTATAAACTCGTTGGAAAAAAAATTATCAAATGAATTTCAAGAATTGTTTCAAACAAAAAAATTGTCCAACGAGTTACAAATAATTTTAAAACGTTTTTTAGTATTTCTGGAAATTTTCAAGCAAATCAATAAAAACTCGTTGGAAAAAAAACTCCATGAAATTTCAATGAATTTTGAAAATAATTGAACCAACGAGTTTCGATAAATTAAAAAAAATTGAAAAATATTTTCGAAATTTTTTAAAACATTATAAACTCGTTGGAAAAAAAATTATCAAATGAATTTCAAGAATTGTTTCAAACAAAAAAATTGTCCAACGAGTTACAAATAATTTTAAAACGTTTTCTAGTATTTCTGGAAATTTTCAAGCAAATCAATAAAAACTCGTTGGAAAAAAAAATCCATCAAATTTCATTGAATTTTGAAAATAATTGAACCAACGAGTTTCGATAAATTAAAAAAAATTGAAAAATATTTTCGAAATTTTTTAAAACATTATAAACTCGTTGGAAAAAAAATTATCAAATGAATTTCAAGAATTGTTTCAAACAAAAAAATTGTCCAACGAGTTACAAATAATTTTAAAACGTTTTTTAGTATTTCTGGAAATTTTCAAGCAAATCAATAAAAACTCGTTGGAAAAAAAAACTCCATGAAATTTCAATGAATTTTGAAAATAATTGAACCAACGAGTTTCGATAAATTAAAAAAAATTGAAAAATATTTTCGAAATTTTTTAAAACATTATAAACTCGTTGGAAAAAAATTATCAAATGAATTTCAAGAATTGTTTCAAACAAAAAAATTGTCCAACGAGTTACAAATAATTTTAAAACGTTTTTTAGTATTTCTGGAAATTTTCAAGGAACTCAATAAAAACTCGTTGGAAAAAAAAATCCATTAAATTTCATTGAATTTTGGAAATAATTGTACCAACGAGTTTCGGTAAATTAAAAAAAATTGAAAAATATTTTCGAAATTTTTTAAAACATTATAAACTCGTTGGAAAAAAAATTATCAAATGAATTTCAAGAATTGTTTCAAACAAAAAAATTGTCCAACGAGTTACAAATAATTTTAAAACGTTTTTTAGTATTTCTGGAAATTTTCAAGCAAATCAATAAAAACTCGTTGGAAAAAAAAATCCATCAAATTTCATTGAATTTTGAAAATAATTGAACCAACGAGTTTCGATAAATTAAAAAAAATTGAAAAAATATTTTCGAAATTTTTTAAAACATTATAAACTCGTTGGAAAAAAATTATCAAATGAATTTCAAGAATTGTTTCAAACAAAAAAATTGTCCAACGAGTTACAAATAATTTTAAAACGTTTTTTAGTATTTCTGGAAATTTTCAAGCAAATCAATAAAAACTCGTTGGAAAAAAAAATCCATCAAATTTCATTGAATTTTGAAAATAATTGAACCAACGAGTTTCGATAAATTAAAAAAAATTGAAAAATATTTTCGAAATTTTTTAAAACATTATAAACTCGTTGGAAAAAAAATTATCAAATGAATTTCAAGAATTGTTTCAAACAAAAAAATTGTCCAACGAGTTACAAATAATTTTAAAACGTTTTTTAGTATTTCTGGAAATTTTCAAGGAACTCAATAAAAACTCGTTGGAAAAAAAAATCCATCAAATTTCATTGAATTTTGAAAATAATTGAACCAACGAGTTTCGATAAATTAAAAAAAATTGAAAAATATTTTCGAAATTTTTTAAAACATTATAAACTCGTTGGAAAAAAATTATCAAATGAATTTCAAGAATTGTTTCAAACAAAAAAATTGTCCAACGAGTTACAAATAATTTTAAAACGTTTTTTAGTATTTCTGGAAATTTTCAAGCAAATCAATAAAAACTC